GAGCCGTTCCTCCGCCTCCGACGCTAGCACTGACCCCGGCAGGGTCCGTGGTATTGAGGCTGTAGAGCGGGGCGGGACGCTCACGGATAATGTAGAGACGTGTTGATGCACCAAAGTGTATCCCTGAGTCGATAGGTACCTGCAGGGGGTAGACGAAGTTAAGCAGATTAATGACATCTGGATCGCTTATTGGCGGCGGCAGCAGCAGCAGCACGGGAAACGCGTGCTACTGTTGTGCTCTAGGCGGCATTCATGAGATGTAGAAAAAGCGAAGAGTTCTTCGCATTCGCACATCAAGTAACCCTCATAGGAATTCCCTCAAACTCCGAGGAACCTTATCCCATCTGCATGTCCGCAAATATTCGTTTTCAAGGCGAGTAATCGGTGCCTGGAACGGACTGCCGAAGGGGGTCATAATGGCAGACGCATTTAAACGCAAATTTGGCGTATATTTTCTTAGCAGATACCGTTCATGTGCACAAGAAAGCACTCTTCGAACAGATCGACACTTCGCTCACACATACAGATGAATTCATATCTGTCATTCGACAACTTTATCTTCGATCCTCAGGATGACTACACGTAAACGCCACTGTTAAAATACGTAAATTTATACATGTTACTCACTATTTTAAAGTAACATATTTATTTAATGTTTTATGTCGACTATATTTGCATACCGTTTAAAACAGGGTCTTCAAAGGCATTGCCTACTGTCCTAAATATTCTGAACTATGCTGAACTAATTCTCAAGTATTAGTAAGATTTATAAAGAGATGCAATCGAGCGTGCACAAACTCTTCAGTTAAATGTAACGACCGAGTTCCAAGTTGGAAGTGCCGGCGCCAGATATGTAGATTGTAATCCTGCAAAATTTACTTTTCTAATGCATAAAAAAACAGTGACCACAAATTGCGATAGTGTGTTCTCGATGACGATTTAGGGAAAATGTCGAGCGTAAGAATAACGGAAAAGCTCGGTCACAAAGATAAACATTTGGATCACTTTTATTGAAATTGGAACTTCAGTTGCCGTTGCATCCACGCAGCAACGACAAGAGAGGTAGGGGTCCAGGAATTTGCACAATTATGAGCTTCTTAAGGTGATTAAGTGGCTTAGTGTGGTGAGTACTGATGTGAACTAGAAAATAAATATTTACATATTTCACAATGCGCTTCTACACTTTCTCATCATATCTGGGAACGGTCCAGATACTCTTGGCCAGTGCAGGTTATCAGGTTGACATAGACGACGAAGGGCAACAGGGCT